GAGTTTAATTCATTTTTTTGTGCGAGTTCAATTAATTTCTTTGTGCGAATTCAATTCATTGTTTTGTGCGAGTTCAATTCATTTTTTTGTGCGAGTTCAATTCATTTTTTTTGTGCGAGTTCAATTCATTTTTTTGTGCGAGTTCAATTCATTTTTTGTGCGAGTTCAATTCATTTTTTTTGGGCGAGTTCAATTAATTTTTTTGTGCGAGTTTAATTCATTTTTTTGTGCGATTTCAATTAATTTCTTTGTGCGAATTCAATTCATTGTTTTGTGCGAGTTCAATTCATTTTTTTGTGCGAGTTCTATTCATTTTTTGTGCGAGTTCAATTCATTTTTTTGTGCGAGTTCAATTCATTTTTATGGTGCGAGTTCAATTCATTTTTTGTGCGAGTTCAATTCATTTTTTTGTGCGAGTTCAATTCATTTTTTTTGTGCGAGTTTAATTCATTTTTTTGTTCGAGTTCAATTCATTTTTTTGTGCGAGTTCAATTCATTTTTTTGTGCGAGCTCAATTCATTTTTTTGTGGGAGTTTCATTCATTTTTTTGCATTGTGCGAGTTCAATTCATTTTTTGTGCGATTTCAATTCATTTCTTTTTGCGAGTTCAATTCATTTTTTTTGTGCGAGTTCAATTCATTTTTTGTGCGAATTCAATTCATTTTTTTGTGCGAGTTCAATTCATTTTTTGTGCGAGTTCAATTCATTTTTTTTGTGCGAGTTAAATTCATTTTTTTGTGGAGTTCAATTCAGTTTTTTGTGCGAGTTCAATTCATTTTTTTGTGCGAGTTCAATTCATTTTTTTGTGCGAGTTCAATTCGTTTTTTTTTGTCGACCTCAATTCATTTTTTTTGTGGGAGTTTAATTCATTTTTTTGTGCGAGTTTAATTCATTTTTTTATGCGAGTTCAATTCATTTTTTTGTGCGAATTCAATTTATTTTTCTGCGAGTTCAATTTATTTCAATAGTTATAACATATTGCCACGGTGTTGTATCTCAATGTTATGAATATAACTAATTTTGCCCGGAATGCCATAACTTGACCCAGTTATTTATTTATTGTTATAGGATTTTTGTTGGTGCACCACTTGGAACCGCAGGATTTCGCAATGTTGATTATGGAAATTTGATGGAATGTGTGATTAACAAGCAAAGTTGTAACGTTTTCGCAATTGATAGGCGCGTCTGTAAGTAAAACAAGACCTGCCAAGCAAAGCAGGCATTTGTTCGAAACACTCAGGGGTGGTTGAATAAAACCCCTTAGATTGATTGAATAATTAAGTTCAATGCATCAGCCATGCAATCACTTTCAACTTAAAAATAGACCGGAAGCTATTTTTCAGTTTTGTACAAACAATCGATCATGTTTTTGTTGTTAGTTTGGTGGGGTTTCCGAATGACAAATGTAGAGTCTGGAAGTGGTTATTTAACCACTTGCAGGAGCAAGGATACCCTGTGAAGTATGCAAAGCATATAAGAAAATTTATGAAAAATACTTGTCTAACTTCTGTAATATATCCTACGTCTTGTTATAGGGAAATGAAAAATACATTCACATCCGAAGTCGTACGATATGTATTGAAAATTAGGTGCAGATCGGCAGCTCAAGATTGCTAGATTAGCATGTCATTTTTATTGAATTGTGTATTTGTCTGTATATTTCTATTTTAGCACTTTTTCATGCGAGAAGACTAGAACATAGGCAATTTGAGGGCGGCCTAAGGGAATTGTGCAACCATTGAAAATGCTCAAAACTACCCCAAACTTCCCCGGTGATATGGTCATCTTCCTCAAACAGGATTTTTTCCCGCAATCTGTAAGAATGATTCTAAATTGATGCGTTATATTAACATTGTGCAGAAATCAGTTGTATCGAGTGAGATGTTGAGTATACAGTATTATTATTGTCCGTGTGTATTTATATAAAGTAATGGAAGTGGGAAAAAGTGCCAAAATATATAACAGGAATGTAATCGTTCATGAATTTCGAATTTTCTCATACAGAACTATATATTTCCCTTCACCCTACGTAATAAACTTTGTAAAATATAGGAGTAAATACACATATTTAGTATGAAATGTAAATGATTCTTGCGATTTAGATCCCTGTGGCCGCACATAGGCATTGATTTTTACTATAATGTCCCACAATATTACACTATATAATAGCGTGAGGCCGTTAATTGATACAGGAAAAACCGATGTTTTTTGAAAACTGATTCAACTTCATGTAATGTTGTTGAAATGTCACATGTTGCTAGTTCGGCAAAAGATCAATCTTTGGATATTTCTATTTTTCGACCTACAACATTCTTAAATTTCGGAGTACAGTAATCATAAAGTACTTTCATAGTTGTTTGTAATAGATTCATCACAGCGCATCATATGCTTTCACTTTGAACGATGTTCTTTGAACGATCTTCGGTATATTCTTAGTAAATTCTTTAAATTCTGCCTATTTTAACCTTAATTTCCTTATATAAACGAGATTTTTATGCCTTAATGTCTCAAGCTTTACGTCATTCCAGCCAACACCCAAGCTGAATTGAATTCAATACATACAAAATTTGACGTTTGAAATGGACATTGAGTTTTGCATGTAGTTTGCTCGAATATGATGTAAATTGTATTTGACCAACGCAAAATTCGATATTTGAACCAGGCCGAAGGTTTGTTAAAATCCAGCCAAATGAAAGTTCACTGTTAAGTAGCTTAAAACAATTCTATATGCTTTATAGCGAAATCACATGAATTTCGAACAAAGCAATGGTTAGGAGCCACTGTCTACTCTAATGGTGATGGAAGAGTAGTCGTAAGTATACTGTATAGCAGTTGGGTTTTCAAGTCAATTATTTGCATTATGTTTCAACTTGATTTATCAGTGTTGCTAGAAAAGCTGAGAACTCTAGTACACTTCAGCAAAGCCAATATGTTATCAGTTCCAGCACGATCTAGGGGGGGGGGGGGGGATAATAAATAGAACGACTCGTTCCTTGACATTCCCCTCTGGAATGCAATGCATGCGGTAATGTTAATATTCCTATCGAATAGTAACACCGGTCAAGAAAGACAGAAAGTTAAACTAAACTTGTTTTATTCACAAAATTTCGCTTTAAAATATAAAACTAAAAATTTACTCAAACGCTATCGTTTCAACTTCGAGCATGCTGCTCTCTTCCCTTCCTGTCATGTGACACAACGGAACTAAGCTAGTTAGTATGTCCACCGCACGCTATTCCAACGAAACACGCATACTATTGTCTATAGGGTGATCAAGCCTAAACAAATCTAAATGCAAGTTTTATCTATTACTACTAGGGTCGTCCTTGTTTAAGGTAGCTCGATATAGTAATCACAAAAACCCTGCTCAAGAATCGCGAACTCAAAACCGAGTGACCATTTTTACGCGCAGGTCGCGGAAACTGATAAACAAAATGAAAAGAACTTCCAAAATGACCTGACGTGAGCATGGGC